GGGGGGGGGGGGGGGGGGGGGGGGGGGGGGGTGGGGAGGCGACGGAGGATGCGGAAGAGATTTTTCTTTAGTTTTAGCTTCAGACCCGGACTTTTGCAGCACTGGTGCCTGCGTCGCATGGGGCGGGGAGGTGGACGAAAGATCGCCTGGATCCGCCAGTGGTAGCAAAAGCGCAATGAAAATGGGCTGTACATGGCTGTGTGGAGTTGGTTTGTTATGGCTGTGATTCGGAAAATCATGGAGTTGAACATCGTTCGGAGGGGATTGTTTTTTTCAGATACATGAACGAGGTGCATCGGCTTTGGCTAAGTCTGCCGCTAATGTGGCGTCTGCTGAATGCAATTGGCTCATTTCTGATGTGCAATACAGCCCCTGTGTGTTATCTGGTGATAATCATTGTACATGGTCAAGCGGCCTGCTTGCTGACACTTCCGCTTGCAATCTTGGTCTTTTTCTGGGGCGCTATCACTGAGCGTAAACGTCGACTTCTCTGGACAATTGCAATTTTTTATGTACAGGTCAATTTTTACACTCTCATAAGCTAATATAACTGACCACTAGGCATCGTAGCCACTGTTCATAAACAGCCATGAAATGAAGAAAGAAAATCGCACGGCTCGCCACTACAGCACTGAGCTAGTACCTGTTTCGTGCACCAATATAAGTAAAGCTTATAGAAAGAGGAAGACTGGCAAGTGATGGAGCGTGGAAAAGCAAAAAAGCCGAATAGGCTCATGAAAACGATGACTGATTCACAGTTGGGCTCTTACCAATGCAATAGACTTATTTCATATCACCAGGATACTTTATTGCAGGCCTCACTGTTATCCATTGACAGAAGCACCACCGTTGTATTCTTAGAATTTCTTCAGAAAGCTGACTAATTAAGCGCAAATCTTTTGCAACTAGAAAAATGCTGAGCTCATGTTCGTCTTGGATGGATTAATGCTAAGCTAAATTCTACTAAGATAAAGATCATTTTTCAGATAATGATCGTAGTTACGCTATGCTTCAAATACACGCATTTACCTTGGATATGCCCAAAAGGCTCAACGGAATGCGCTCAGTGGAATATTTCCATGATCGGTCGATTTGTTGGCATTGCCGATGAGCCAATGTCCGTCACCCTGTTCTGCTTACTTGTTCTTGCACTTTTCGCGCATCGTCATGTGTTACGGGTAAGTTGCTGCCCAAAAAGAAAATGAAATGCTTTTCGCTGAAAGGAGTGGATTTCTTTTTGCTACAGTTTCATATTTTCACAGTCAGTGAGGTACTTCATCGTAGTCGGGAAACGACAGTGTTGGAGACGGGATGGTAATATGCTCAACACATACTAGTGACAGCTAAGTCTTGTCAAGCATACTTAGTAAGCTGTCACTGATATGTGTTGAGCATCGGCAGCAGAGGATTCCATGAAACAATGGTCCTATCACATGATGGGGAGGCCCCATCGCAAGGTGGGGCGGTTTGTTGTCATGCTACACGAAGCTATAGCCCCGTCCCACGCTGCCCGATGTTTACACGAGCGATCGGACTATTTTACACAAAAATCTTCCGGGAGTTACGATGGCTTACCAATACAAGTTATTTACGGCAAATGCTGAAGTACTGCACCCAGAAACGGTCGTTATTTGTACAAGTGGGCGAGTACCGACGGGAAATGTACGTTGCTCGAGCATTACACGAGCAACACTGAGTATCCACTTGGATCAGTTGCCATTACACGAACTTTGATGGCATGTTACCTGCAATCTGATTTTTTCGCGCATTTAAAATCGCTAAACTGGTAATCCGTTTAAGAAGCGGAACGGATGTTAGGATGCTGGCAGCATGTTGACTATCAGACGATGCAGCACTAGGCAAAGCAATTGGGGAAGTTTCCAGATGCACAATTAGGGAAGTAGATTGTGAGTTAACACCAAATCCAACTGTTTTTTTCTTTCAATTTTTACCAGATATTTTGATATTTGACTACTTTTAGCGAAACGGTTTTTGGTACGCAACAAGCAGGCAATTGCTTCGAAGTGAAGGTTAGTAGATTGGATTGTAAATCAAGAAAAGTAAAATTCTGAACTGGCCAAGACTGCTGCATATCCTTTCACTAATCCATAGGCTCACAAATATTCTGTGTAAAAAGGATGCTGACTAATGCGCAGTCATTTGTCTATCATTTTCTGCACTTTTCGACCCATCGAAGGTCAGGGACGCCTGAGAGCGTCTTAAAGTTTATGAAAAGAAGATAGATCTAGTTGTACGTGAAGAGTAGATAAGCGGGAAATTGCATGAAGGAAAAGTGGATTAAATATGAAAAGGAAAGTTCCAAATCATAAAGCAGTGTGCATTTCTTTTCAGTATCATAATTGGACCTTTTCATCATCCAGTGGCAAAGATGCCGGTGGTTTCTTTTTTCGAGAGCTGCTTAGAGGAGAGCTGATGATGGGTTAGACTTCCAAACATGCAACCATTAAAACGGATGTTCGAATCATAGACATTTTTTAGCATGAAAAAATTTGCCACTGCACCAAGCTTG